ACTGGACAAAAATCGTGCACCTATGGATGAGGACAGTGGGTGGGGAGTGAGGGCAGGGGTGGGGTGGGAACTGGGAGGAGGGGAATTATGGGGGGAAAAAAGAGGAACAAATGTAATAATCTGAACAATAAAGATTTAATTAAAAAAAAAAATTCACAAATTAAAAACTTATCTGGTCAATAGCAAGTTGATTTTACTACTAGTAACTATTTGTTATTTTAGAATTTCTGAACTCTCAGAAGTTAAGAACAATGACTATCAACATTTAATTAGTACGAGAATTTGATCTTTTGCTAATCTCCCTTTAGTTATCCTCCATTATGTTCCTCCTCCTTCAATCAAAAGGATTGAGACTAAAATCATTCTGATTGAAACAGTAAGTACAGCACCAAAAATTTGCTGATATGGTTATAGAAACCCCCATTTTTCATAATACTCTGAAGAGACGGAGAAAAGAAAAAAATACAGTCTGACCTTTAGTGTGACATCACAGAGTTCTCCATTTTCATAAAACCGAAGAAGAGATCCATGAAAATCTTTCCAAGCTTCCTGTGCTTCGAAGATAAAGGAGTCGTCGCCATCGCCATCACTGATGGAAGACCTAGTCTTTGTTTGCTGGTGCTGCTGCCTTTTCCCCTTTGTGAAGTGGTTCCTAGGGTATTTTGTATTCATAGAATCTGAAGCCATTTGCAACACTCTTCTTTTAATAGAGCTGTCTTCTCAAACATCCCATTTATTCTTTTGTAAATGGTAGGGCAAAAGCGGAAGGTAGATGCGGCCCACTAAACTTCAGACATTTTCAAAACCCACTCAACTGCCATTGTCCAATTTGCTGACACTGAAAAATAAGCAAACCATTCATAGAAACAAACCAAAAGAAAAAAATCAATAATAATTCTAGTTTACCAATATTATATATGTAAAAAGACTATATAAATAAAAAAAGAACAAGTAACTTTGGAGCTCTTATGCTAAATGTCACATAAATTACCTCAGAAAATATAGGTGACCCTTGAACAATGCAGAGGGTAGATTCAAATCCACCCTCATCAAAAATCCACACATCAAAAGTATTTTCGACTCACAGTTGGAAATGCATGGTTAGGAATCCGTGGTTGAGAATGAGAAAATACTGGGGTTTTGTTGTTGTTTTGATATATTTTTACTGACTTCAGAGAAGAAGGGAGAGGGAGTGAGAGATAGAAACATCAAAGATGAGAGAGAATTATTGATTGGCTGCCTCCTGCACGCCCTCCACTGGGGATCGAGTCCGCAACCCAGGCATGTGCCCTGACCAAGAATCGAACAGTGACATAGAGTGTTGGCTTGCCGACTGAAGGGTCCTGGGTGCTTTTCCAGTCAAGGGCACATGCCTGGATTGCGGGCTTGATCCCCAGTAGGGGGTGTGCAGGAAGCAGCCAATCAATGATTCTCTCTCATCATTGATGTTTCTCTCTCTCCCTTCCTCTCTCTGAAGTCAATAAAAATGTATATATTTTTTAAAAATCTAATTTGAAAATTCTAGGAAGAAGGTGAAATAGAAAGCATTAGGAATTTGTCTTCCCACCTAGACAATAATTGCAGTGGCAGAATCTGTCTGGTGTAACTGCTTTAGAACTCAAGTGTTGAAGGCTTACAGCTTCCCGGAGAAGACTTGGATGGTAAATCACGGTTAATTTTGGTCAATTTCAGCTCTTAGTACAGTAGCAGCTTTCCATCCACACCCTCCATCACATGCAGGCAGCTATGCATGTGTTCCAGGAGCAGCAGCTTGCACACAATTTGCAGGAGCTGTGGTGGGCAAAAAGGACCCTGCCCTCCAAGTGTCAGGAGTCTCTGCTCTGATTGCTGAGTGCTGTTTCTGCTCACAGAGATGCAGACAAAGAGTGGGCAGACATTTCTGCTGCAACTCCTTCTAGTATTGCAAGCCTTTCTCTCTCAGCTGGAGTAACTTCCAGGGAATTTGAAAGGCTGGTGTTCTTTCCCCCCTATATTTTATACTTTTTCTCCTTTAGGGAGCAAGACATGAAAGACTAAGACGTTAAAAAACAACTGCACATACAAGAAATATTAGACACGCCCTGGGAAAGGCTCACAAAGACCTGAGAGCACCTGAAGGTTACAGCTCAGGGTGATCTCCAGCATAGATAACGAGAGAGAGAGAGAGAGAGAGAGAGAGAGAGAGAGAGAGAGAGAGAGAGAGAGAGAAAACAATGACAAAAACTGGCAAACCTTTAAAAAAAAGGAAGAATCTGATTTTCAGACTTATTTTATTAGATTTAAATGTTCAGTATTCCACAACAACAACAACAAAACACAAGGCATACACAGAAACAGATATGTATGGCCCATTAAGGGGGGGGAAATAAATCAAAAGAAACTGTCTCTGAAAAAGAACTAATAACATTTATTCTAGACAAATAATTTAAGACACTATCTTACTGATATTTGAAGAACCAAAGGAAGATGTGGTGAAAGTCATTTGTATGAACAAAACAGAACTATCAATTAAAACGGAGTGGGGGGGGAGGGGGAGAGACATACCATAAAACTTAAAAAGGAACAAAAAACGAATCCTGGAACTAAAAAGTACAATAACTGAAATGAAATATTCACTAGAGGGATTCAAAGGCAGATTTGAGGAGGCAGAAAAAAGAACTGGCAAACTTGAAGATAAAATAATAACTATCAAGTGAGAAACAGAAAGAAAAGGTGGAAGAAACATGAACAGAACCTAAAGGATCTGTGGGACACCATCAAACACACCAATGTACATATCACTGGGGTCCTAGAAGAATAAGAGAGAGAGAAGGGGAAGAGATAATATTTGAAGAAATAATGGCTGAAAACTTCTTAAATTTGATGAAAGACATGATTTTAAACATCCAAGAAGCTCCAAGAAAGATAAACTCAGAGACCCAAAACCTAGATACATTATAATCAATCTTTCAAAAGCCAATAATAAAGAAAGAATCTTGAAATCAATAAAAGTGAATCATCTCCTGGTTGGTGGCTCAGGGATTAGCATCAGTCCATAAACCAAGAGGTCACTGGTTCGATTCCCGTTCAGGGCACATGCCTGGGTTTTGGTTTCGATCACCAGTAGGAGGTATGCAGGAGGCAGCCAATCAATGTTTCTCTCTCATCAATGTTTCTGTCTTTCTATCCTTGTCCCTTCCTCTCCCTCTAAAAATTTAATAAAAAAATATTTTTTTAAAAATAAAAGTGAGTCATCACACAAGTGATCCTCAATAAGATGATCAGATTAGAAATTTTGGAGGCCAGAAGACAGTGGGCAAGTATGTTTAAAGTATTAAAAGACAAAATCTGTCAACCAAGAATCCTATATCCAGCAAAACTGTTCTTCAAAAGTGAGGAAGAAATTAAGAAATCCCAAATAAACAAAAGCTAAAGGAGTTCATGACCATTAGATCTGGCCTGCAAGAAACACTCACAGGGTCCTTCAAGGTGAAATGAAAGAACACTAGACAGTAACTCAAAGCCATAGGGAGAAATAAATATCTCAATAAAAGTAAATACATAAGTAACAAAAATTAATATTGTAACAACAGTTTGCAACTGCATTTTTTTTCTCTACATGATTAAAGAAAAAATTAAATTAAGCATAATTGGATTGGCAAAATGAATAAAAACACATGATTCAAGTATATGCTATCTATAAGAGATTCACTCGAGATCCAGACACAAACAGGTTGAAGTGCAAAGGATGAGAAAAATATTTCATGCAAATAGTAACCAAAAGAGAGCAGAAATGGCTATACCACGATCAGACAAAATAAGACTTTAAATTTTAAAATGTCATAAGAGACAGAGGATATTATACATTAATAAGAGATTCAATACAGCAAAAAGATATAACAATAAATATTTACACATATAAAGACAGATCATGAAAAGAATTGAAGGGAAAAAGGAAGAGTTCTACAATAACAGATGGAGATTTAAATCCCCCAGTCACAATAATGGATAGAACAACAAATAGAAGGTAAGTATGGAAACAGAGAACTTAACACAATAAACCAACTACTCTAACAGACATGCCCAGAACACTTTATCCGAAAACAAAATACATATTCTTCTCAAGTGCACACAGGCATTTTCCAGTATAAACAATATGTTAGGCCACAAATTTAAGTCAAAATAGACTTAAAAAGATAACAGACCAAGTATCTTCTACCAATTTGACATGAAGTTATTTACCAATAACAACAACAACAAAAATGGAAAATTCACAAAACTGTGGAAAGTAACACAATTTTAAACAATGGATCAAAGAAGAAATGAAAAGAAAAATTAGAAAATACTTAGAGATGCATTAAAACTAAAATAAAACATACCAAAACTTATGGGGCTCAGTGAAAGCAGTGGTAAGGAGGAAATTTATAGCTACAAACACATTTTTAAAAAAATTTCAAATCAATAACCAAACTTTACAACTTAAGGAACTAGAAAAAGAACAAACTAAACCCAAAGCAGAAGGGAGGAAATAATGGAGATCAGAACAGAGGTAAACAAAAAATGTACCATATTAACTATTTTTAAGTGCACAGTTCAGTGATATTAAATACAATCACACTGTTGTGCAGCCATCACCACCATCCATCCCTGTAACTCTTCATCTTGTAAAACTGAAACTCTATTCCCATTAAAGAAATCCCCATTCTCTCCTCCTCCCCAGCCCTTAGCAACCATTATTATACTTGGTCTTTATGATTTTGACTACTCATACCTCATATAAGTTGAATCATACAGAACTTATCTTTTTGTGACTGGCTTATTTCACTTAGCATAATGTCCTCAAGGTTCATCCATGTTGTAGCATATTGCAGAATTTCCTTCCTTTTTAAGGCTGAATAATATCCCACTGTGGGATACAGCTAAAGCAGTGTTTTGAGGAAATTGTTTTAAAAATATATTTTATTGATTTTTTTACAGAGAGGAAGGGAGAGAGATAGAGAGCTAGAAACATCGATGAGAGAGAGAAACATCGATCAGCTGCCTCCTGCACATCCCCCACCGGGGATGTGCCCGCAACCCAGGTACATGCCCTTGACCGGAATCGAACCTGGGACCCTTCAGTCTGTAGTCCGACGCTCCATCCACTGAGCCAAACCAGTCTCGGCTTGAGGAAATTTTTAGAGCATTAAATGCTTATGTTGAAAAAGAAAAAAAAGGTCTTAAATCAATAATTAAGCTTTCACCTTAAGAAACTAGAAAAAAAGGAGCAAAATGTACTCAAAGCAAGCATAAGGAAATAATAAAGAATACAAACCAATAATATCAAAAACAGAAATTAAATCAAAACCAAAAGTTTTTTTTTAAAGATCAACAGAATTGATAAACATCTAGCAAGACTGACACAAAAAAAAAGAGAGAGAGAGAAGACACATTATCACAATGAATCCACAGGCAATGAAAGGTTAATAAGGTAACTACCATGGAAAACTCTACATATGTAAATGTGACAACTTAGTGTTAGTTCTTTCCAGTTCAATATGGCATAAAAATAAATAATAAAAGGCACAGAGATTGGAAAGAAATAAGTCTGTCCCTATTAGCAGACATGACTGTCTATGTAAAACATTCCCAAGAAACACCTAGAACTAATAGTAAGTTTAACAAGGTCACGAAATATAAGGTAAACACACAAAAATCAATCATATTTCTACATATTAGATATGCATAATTGAAAACTGAAATTTTTAAAAGCAACACTACTAAGAATGGCTCAAGAAAAATTTATTCTAAAATCAAAAGCTTATTTACAAAATGACAATGTGATCATGATAAATGGACAGTCCAGCAATTTTCAAACTTTTTCATCTCATGG